AGACTAAGACCTCACTAAAAATGAGGTCAACAACGACGTGTGTTACATCATAGGTACTCCTTTGAGTCTATTGGAAATAGAACTGAAATTCTTTAAACTAAAACAGATCCTATGCAAACTCATAATTGATAGTGAGTTGAATGCATTTCATGTCTATGTCCATTCTAAATTGTATGAATGTGAAACCTAAACCACATATAAAACCATATAAGTTAGCATAGATATATAAAATTGTTATGTTTTCTGTCTATGAGATGTTTAGTTTTGATTCAATTACTACTAATATAGACAAAATCTAACGTAATTTGCTTCTTGTGGGCGTTGCTCGTGTCACTATATTGACTAGACATTGAACTTATAACTTAGATGTTAATTGCTAAGAGTTATCTAATATATATGATTTCAAGACTAATGGAAGAATGGTAGTTTTGAATCCTATAAAACCTAAAAGTATGAATTTACAGAAGAATCCAATGCTAACAAAGAAGTGAAAAATTCTTTGCATAATTTGAGTAAACATAAAATCAAAGAGTGGGACGAGGAGTGTGATGTGTCTGACAGTGACTAAACATGCTTCATGAGAAATAAAACATTCAAATGAAGAAAACTTTACATACAATATAACTAGAATAACTTGTTCCTTAACAACCAAGTAGTTACATTGCAACTAGAGAGACCAAAAAAGTAAAACGCAAATCAATTTCAAATAGCTTCTGCTGGAACCACACTGAAAAATTGACTTTGGAATAACCCAAAAATTGGAAAATGTGAAATACTAAAACTAAAAAATTTTTGAAAACCATTTTTAGGGCTAAATCACAGAATGGGCCAGAGCAAAAATGTCATACAATAGTTGAGATATGTATTTAGCCTGTGGGGCATACAACCCACCAGCCAAGCGTTGTCCAAGGAGAATGGGATGGTGCACTTCAACTAAATTAATTTTGAAGTTAATAAAAAGTCATATAAAATAGCCATCATATTTAATTAATACTCAAAATAAAAATCCATAATAATAGCATAATTTCAAGAAGAAGAAGAAGAGTTAATGACGTAAGAGCTTGCTGAGCCAAACCAACCCAACTGGCTGAACGACCAAGGGTCCAGGTCCAGGAGGTTAGAAAGGCCACTTCTTCCTTTAGGTGGGACATACCGCCCAAGTCCCCCCTCCCTTCCTATTATATCCCCCTTCTATTTCTATTTCCGCTCCAAGTCTACTACCTTCCTATTATATTCCTTCCCAATCTATCTCCTTTCTATTTTATTACCTTCCTATTTTTAACTATTATTATCTATTATAATTACGTTGGTTGGTTGCTGAAGATGCCGTTTTGTTTGTTTTTTATTCCAAATCTCTGCTTCTAAACATTTCCCCTTCTCAGGGTTGTATCCAACGGCGAGAAGATGCTCTGGTTGTAACTCGTTGTCCAGATGGTGATTATCTCTGCTTGTTCCATCTCTTGTTGTTGTCGTCCAGTCCACAAAAATCCTTCTGCTCACTGTCAGCCTCCTCCAGCATCTTCGAGCAGGTCGCCCTTTCTCCAGCTCTCTTCCAACAGGCTGCCCTTCCTCAAACTCCTTCCCTGCAGGCCGCACAACCTCCTGCACAGACAAACCATCGCATCTCCAACTCCATCCAGCACCGCAGCAACCTGCTTCCAGACCTTCCAGCATGCCACCGTTACTTACCAATTCCCTCCAGCATTGTAAAACCTGCTTCTAGCACCCTTCCAGAAGGCCACCGTTGCTTCCTGTTCCCTCCAGAATTGCTACACCTGCTTCCAGCCCTCTTTCAGCAGGCCACAGCCACTTCCTGCTCCCTCCAGCCCTGCCGCACCAACTCTGAACCTCTTTCCAGCAGGTTGTCGTTAACTTCTGTTACCTCCAGCACTGTTGCACCTCCCTCCAGTCCGATTCAGACCTATCACTCTCCCCTAGAGAGCAATTTACGTATTTGTGTTATTTTTTCTTATTTTGAGGAGTCGTCGTTGTGACTTCTTGAATTCAATAATAATATTCTTTTCGATTATAATTTGAGTTAATTCCGGTATCAATTAAAGGATAAGAAGCTTAAATAATGCATAATCAATATTAATTATGACATCTAATTTTATTTTATTATATGTCTGATTGAATATGAATCATATAGTAATGAATTCTAGAATTTATTTTAATTTTTCTTCGTGTGTTTGGATTTATGCTTCATTACCATTGGGCTTGTGCCCAAATTCGTAACAGATAAAGTATTGTCCTCAGCCATCACACTTCAAAACATTGCCCAGAAGTTCTTGTTTCAAAATAAAAATTATATGAATCCATCAAGGAAGAGAACTGTATTTCGTGGAGCTTAATAAAAGGACAAAACAAAGCAAGCTGAAAAATCATAGAAGTAGAAAACAGCAACCATTTGATTTGCCTCAGAACTTTCACAAAGAATTTCAATCAATCCAATTAAAATGACATACAGTTCGAAAGCAATTTCCCATTGGAACTTCAAAAAGCTATATCCAGATAAAAGGGTCACCACGTCCCTGGAAAAAAAGGAGAAAGAAAGAACTTTGGTAAATAAATAACCAAAAACAGACAATTGGCTCAAATAATCTACTGGCAAACAAAAATTTGGAGGCAAATTTATCTACCAAGTTGAAATCAGGCATCACAAAATATTCATAGCTCTCATTTAGGATTTAAGGAAATCGCTATGAATTATACATCATGCAAAAGGACATTAAATCTTAAACGTGGACACAATGAAAATTGAATATGCCGAGAGTTTTTTACATTTTTTTAATCGTAATAATGAGGTGATAAACCAATGAATTAGAGAAAAAACTGAGCATGACGGTAAAGAAGAGCAACGAACCATAGTATCTGTTTTCTGCAATTTTAACAAGGCAATGTAGGGCAAACAAACCAAATGACTATCAAAGTTTATAACCAGCTGTGTCCCAAAAAAATATGCAGTTTTAGATTAATTGGAACCATCCGATACGGAATGTCCAAATTTATCTTCATATCTTCATGTAAAGAAACTCAAATGGAGCAATAATATTTTCTACTTCTACAACATTGGTGTCAAGGTTGATGTCAGCCCTCCAACCTGACTTGATGAATTATATTTGATTGTAAGTCAGATCATCTTTGGTGCCAATCGCAATGCCATCAATATAGATCCAACGGCACAATTTAGATCTCAATGCTGATCCTCACGCCAAAGGCATTCATTAATATGCCCATTATCCCTAGGGGTGTAGTGGTTCGACGTCAATCTTAAATAAGATGCGGCATAATTTTTCACCGCTGACTTGCCGAAGAACCTACATAAATCTCAAGGTGGTTGATTCATCACCCACACATTTTGCTGAGGTAGCAAATTACCCTTCCTCTTAACATATTAATACCCAGCAGAGTACGACAAATCCCCATTCCTTTTTATGAAGAAAGCTCTGTTGAGCTATTTCCAAGCCCTTAAGTTAAATCTCTAACTTAGGCATTGGAGTGTCAGTCAATAGAATCATTTCCTAGTGCAATTTCACCATTTATGGATTGTGTGTACAAGAGTTGAAGCCACATTATCAATGATGTCAAAGAATCTGGACCAACTCATAGTTGTTTTTGTCATACAACAATTTTACATCGCTTGTGGGAAATGTTGAGAAATTAGGGCGAAGAAAAAAAAAAAAGAATTGACACAAATCCAGAAGAACACACAGAGATTTACGAGGTTCGGCAAAGATGTTTACATGCTCGGGAGCATAGCGGCGACTTTCTTTCAATATTTAGAAAAGAATACAGAATACAAGATTCAGTGGGGTTACAAACAAGACATATATATAACATCATAATACAATATGTAATTATTTAAATTACCTTTGTACCAAACTGCGGGGTGTTGCCCCTGCAACCCCAACCCACATAATGAAACTCCCCCGATTGAACAGATCATTCCGCTCCACTCCGCTCGTGGGCTCCGCTCCGCTCCAGCATCTATCCCATTTATGGTATATGAGTCATACCTAAAAAATCTCCACCTTAACGAATATCCAGTCACTTTAGGAGAAATGCATATACCCAACAAATCTCTACCTTGGCGAATATTCAGTCTCTTAGGAGAAATATATCATGGAGTTTCTTATGCACCAATGTGCGTTGGGCCACCACGCTTCCGCTGTGCCCTCGCTGATCCCCCTAACCCACTAAATTCCAAGAGACACAACTCTTCAATTCTAATAGACATCTTTTCATTCCAAGGGACTTCAAATTCTGGTATTATGAGTCATACCTAACAAATCTCCACATTGGCGAATATTCAGCCTTTTAAGAGAAATATATCATTGAGTTTCTTATGCATCAATGTGAGTTGGGCTACAAATCTTTTTAAATAACCCCTTAATTAAGATTCCCTTAATTAAATTTCCCAGAAAAAGTACTTCCCTTAATTAAATCTTCCTTAATTAAACTTTCTCATAAATTCTTTTTCTTAAACTTTCAAGAAAAGCTCATTTTTTCTTCCAGAAAAACTTCACCTCTGTTTTCCTTCCAGAAAGAAATCTTTCATTTCCCGAGTGCAGCAGCAGATTCCCTTACCTTGCCTTTTCTGAGTTCTGGAAAATCTTTGAAATATCTCTGCACTAAATTTCTTTTTCCGCGAACTTTCCTTTTTTGTGTCTGCCCTTTCAATTCTGCTTCCCACCGCCCGACTGCCTCCTGCACCATCTAACAAAGCCCTTCGTCGCGAATCCTTCTCGCCTGGTAGAGAATCGCCTCTGCAATAGTCTCGCAGCCCTCGTTCGCCTTATTCGCCCCGAACCGCACGCGAACTGGCCGCGATTCCGAACCTTCGCGAACAACTTCGTCCGGACCGCAGAACCCTGTCGAACCTCCTGTCACCTTCGCAGAACAAATCGCCTGGTCTTCTGCTTCGTGAAACTGTTCCCTGTCCTGCGATCGCGCTGGAGTCCTAATCTCTAATCCGCCGAACCGTCTAAGCCTGCTTCGTCTTTAAAATTTCTCTGCGCCGAGATCCGAACTGTCGGGATGCTTGCAGAAATCCTTCCCTAGCCGTCAATCTCCTCTGTCAAAATCTTCTTTATTCCAGCGCCGCCGAAATTTTTCTTCCTTGTCCTAGAACCTCGTTTCGATACCACTTGTTGAGAAATTAGAGCGGAGAAAAAAAACAGAAATCGACACAAATCCAGAAGAACACACAGAGATTTACAATGTTCGGCAAAAATGTCTACATTCTCGGGAGCAAAGCGGCGACTTCCTTTCAATATTCAGAAAAGAATACAAAATACAAGATTCAGCTCTAAAACTCACCTAAGGTTACAAACAGTGCATATATATAACCCTATAGTAGAATATGCAATTACTTAAATTACTGTTGTACCGAACCGCGGGGTGTTGCCCCCGCAACCCCAACCCACATGATGAAAATCCCCCGATTAGACAGATCCTTCTGCTCCAGCATATATCTCATTTATGGTATATGAGTCATACCTAACAGGAAACATTCCTACACTTTGGGGGTGCTCCTTGTGGCACAATCAATCACCTACACCTAAGTGATAATCAACCTTCAGCTCGGAATACAGACAAGTACTACAATATGAGGTGCATCTTCGAAGGCTTCCCAGTGAAATTTTTTCATACCCTATATTCTCACCATTAAATCCCTTCCTCAAATCCCTCTCACCCTAAAATATTTTGAAAAATTTCACTCGTTGATACGACATTCAGACATTCTCTTAAAGGTTAAGTTTGATACATAAAAGAAAAGAGATGAAATGAATCATCTTCTACATGAACTCCATAGTCGAGCAATACCTCCCCCATCATAGTATCAACCACATACAAAAGAGGAAGGGCAAAGCACCCCTAAGATACCTTGTAAAATCCATGTTCCTCAAATTCATCCAAGGCTATATGCAATTCCATTTTACTAAATACAACCCATCTTAAGAATATATCCACACAATTAGTTTATATCGTGCTCGTGATCATAACCAAAAAATCCAAAAATAAATTGAGGAATAGAGATCGTGCCATTACTCTCTCCAATCTTCTTGTTTCCTCTCCAACAAATTAGCATAAAATTATGTTGCATTCTTAAAGAACTCCCAAAAAGAACACGATAACCTCCCTTGGCAACATAAATTGGATGAAAGTACCACCTAGACTAATAAAATTGCCAATTTCGCTATTCCACATGGATTCAAAAATTCATTTGATCCATACAAAGGCTCCACCAATCCATATGAGCATATGAAACATTCTCAAACAATCGAGCAAATTTATTGAGCTATAGATTGGATCCCATGCCAAGTCTTTCTAGTTATAGCATAGGGATAAATTAAGACAGTTGTATTTCCTCCCACTATGCTCTATAAGGGGTATTTAATGAATTGACCTAGTTTTACTGCTAATCTAGTAACAATAGGTACATTGTAAGGAGCTATTCCTATCTTTGGGGATGAGTCAAGGAGTGAGGGAATCACTCCAACATTTTTTTCTATGCTTCACAAATAAAGGTCATCAAATTCTAATAGTTGAACCCAGCCTTCTTCATGGAGCATTCCTCAAAGCTCTCTACCTACAACTAATCTTCTCTAACCTCATAAGGGGCATTGCACAATCCTATCCTGCACTAATCTGATTTGTTAAAGTTCAATTGGTGGCTAATGTGATAACTAATCCAATGTGTTAAAGCCAAATTGTGGTTAATGAGGTAGTTGAAATCCATCGCCAATAATTTTTCCAAATGCTAAGGGAACTTGACGGGAAACAACATCGCAACAGGTGGGGAGGAACGATCTTCTCTCTTAAATCCATAGAAAGATAATTAGAAGCACCTCCAACAACCACCACCATAGTATTAAAGGGTTCCATGCTTGCCCCAAAATATGCTCCAATAATACCTCATGAGAAAATATCCTTATAAAGACACTCAAAATGCTGAATATTTGCAACAATCACAACCCTAAAATATGGTGTTTTTGATCAAATACAATAATACAACCTCCATTATGCAGGAAGAATGCAATCAACTCGGAAGAGATCGAAATGCTTTTCTGCCAATGGCCAATCTAAAACTATCAAGGTGATTAGCAGCCTCCATTACATAAAAAAAGCGATCAACTAGCAATCAGAAGAATTGAAACAATCACAAACTAGCTAAGTCTTCTCCACTAGCCCGAAAAATGTCAACCCAAGAGAAACCTTGAGTGGACAACTCAATTCAACTCAAAGATACTGACCCGGAAAAAGATTGTGCTCCTTACTGAGATCACCCTGCTATTAATGTTGTGATAGATGATCAATTCTATAATATAAAGTAAATTTTAATCGACAATGGTAGCACAATAGATGTCTTATTCAACGTCACCTTCCGAGTATTGATCTCACCAAAGACAAATTTTAGCATGTGATGTAGTGTCTAAAGAATATTATTAGTGAAGTCAACAATTTGATTAATAACTTCTTGAGATGGTGTTGGAAGAGTGGTTCAGGCAATGAAAGAACGTGCATATTA